TTCATGAAACACGTTTTACTCGATCTAAAAAAAGAATTTTTTTTTCAACTTTTTCTACCTAAGGAAAAAGTATGGTGATGGCTGCTAGACTCTCTAGCTATACAATGCTCCTAAGTAATTCAATCGGATTTTTGCTGAAATCAAGAACCAAGCCTCTTAATTCAAGCGGATTTCCTTTTGGTTCAAGCAAAAATCCGATTCAGAGTAATCAATCAAAATCAAATCAAGAGTATTTTTTCTTGTCATTATTTTCAAGAATCTGGACTTCCGATCCAAGCGACTTTTTTTTCCAGTGTACCGTTAGAAACCAAAGTTACTCGGGAGTCCAGAAGCAATACGATTACGATGTATTGCCAATACGTGCAATACCTCTCTTGTGACAACAAATCGAAGGTTTGTTTTATTTTTTTCCAGACGTTCCTCCTTCGTTCGCGGAAAGGTGCGTCTTAAAGCGCTTTAAAACGCAGGCTCACCACGCGCGAGTTGATAACGAGTTGGGCTGGCGGACACGTAGTTAGGACCTGGAATTTTCGGCGTTATCTCGCGCCCACTAACGCGCGCGCTGAAATTGGAGCAAAAATCGAGAAGCAGCCTCATAGGCTTGGAATGCTGGCTTTATTGTTATTTTAACCTCGGCTTATATTCTCGGGAGATAGGGCATGTGTCAGGTCGCCGGAGAGATATTTTTCTGCGTTGTCGTCGTTGGGCGCGCTGCTTCCTGTATCCGTCATCGGTTCGCCTCGATCGGGAGTTCGCTGTCACCGTATTTTGTTAATTATGGTAAAAATTGGCCCGCACCGCCGGCCGGGTTTCTCGCAGAATTGGACCGCGTTAAGCAGAAAGGAACCAACCCACATGTTTGAAAAAATTGAGTTAACAGGGGTTTTCACCTTAATTACTTGTATATTTTCCGTTACCAACAAGTCAAAGTCAAGAAAAAATACTGATTGTCATGAGTTGGTGGAAAAAGGAGATGAAGTTTATATATTATATGAGTATTTCTCACGGAGGTGTAAAACTTCAAACCTCCTTTTCTCAGTTTCAACTCGATGTGGGCTGGCTCCTTTCTGTTTAACGGGGTCCATTCACACTGAAGGCAGTACATCTGGTGGAGGGCAATGGGATTTCATCACGATATGGACCTTATTTTTAATTAGGAACGACAATTTTTGGCTCATTCGTGAAAACTTTTATGTGCATAGGGAAACTGGTGGTAGGCACATATCGGCGGTGAAACTACCAAACCACGTATCTCGTTTGCGGTGTTTAAAAATCTACGCTCACATTTTATTTTTTTGAAGTAGACAAAATCAATATCATTCCTTGAAATTTTCACGGAATTTTCTCCTCACGAAGAGGAAAAAACACAGAAATTTTCAAGACTGGACGTTAAGTAGTTTTTCATTTATAAAATAAAGTATGACAGGAAGTCTGCGACGTCGCAAACCGAGATACGTGGTTTGGTAGTTTCACCGTCGATATGTTGTTTCTAAACCACATGAGCCAGGAATTGTAGTTCGTATAATTGATAAATGTAATCCAAACCAACAAGAACTATTGATCAACCCGTTTTCGTTTTAAAATTCGCCTTGTAAACATTCAACGAAAAGGTATATGGTGATCTCACATCGAATGGTTACCGTACGGGATGGCCTCGACGCTCTCCGTGATTCACTGGCGGGCAACGTGTTCTCGGATCTTGTTAATTCGGTTCGCTAAGTTCAGTGTCTAGAGTCAAGGTTACGTCAGATAGCTCCAACTTTCATTCATGAACTTTTTAGACTCGTAAAAATCTCTGTGTACACTCGAGCTGCCAGCTTCTGGGAGCATCGCTTCATCAGAGCTCCGTTGCGCTATTTTTACAGTCCCTATCTCAAAGTGGGCATCAAGTCATCAAGTTCTTGTAAACCTCCAAAATTATTTTCTACTCCGAACTCGCGGACTCAAATAAATAATTGAAATTGATGATAATGGATGTCTTTACAGAAAGCTTTCGATTAAGAACTTGTATCCTAGTGTAACGTTACCGATTGACAAATAGGCTGAATTTGGTTCCACCCAAGGAAGAAAATAGTTGAAGGTAGATTTCGTCACAAAGTCAGTGAAAATTGGTTACATTTTGCAATAAGGAACCACTATCTCTGTCTGTCCCGTAAGGCACATACCTGCATAGGGAAACCAATGACATGTATGTTATTTCTGCTCTAAAATTGGCCAGAAATAGTGGTTCCTCATTGCAAAATGTAACCCAATTAAGGGGTTGTGCCTATTGTCAAGTACTCCCTGTGAAGAATTTAACATGAGATATGGGTAAAAAATAACTGGTTGAAAAGCGTTATGTATCACTGAAACGTTACTTCATACTCATGAAAAAGTAGTTTCAATTCTAGTGACAAGAATTTTCTCAAATGTAGAAAATCAGAATTGATTTTGAAACGTACACCTAATTGAGAATGAGGTAAACTTATTTCGGCCTCTAGGGAAACACGCACGGATTATTTTACTCATTGCTAATCGGCATCAATGCACTTGTTTACAATATTGAGCCGTCAATTTTTGTGTTACCTAATTAAATATTTTATATATCCAAGGCTAAGTTACTACGGAAATTTCCCTCAGATTTTGAGTGATTCATGTTGCATTTTCAGATAAGAATTTTTGTGAAGATGTATCCTCCTTGAATTATTGTATCAGATCGTTCTGTAAACCCCATCATTGTTCAGGAAACACTCGAAATGAAAAATCCACCTAAACTCTCAAGTATTTGAGAAATTAAAACGCAATTTACCGAAAAATGTCCAAATCACCTCGAAGAGAAGTGCCTAGATTTCGAACAACATCGCCTCAAGTCAAGAGGCCACTCACTGAAATTGTTCAAATTTGTTGGCTGGGCGATAGGAGAATTTTAGCTTGTAACTTCTTAGGAGAGAGGGGAAATCTGCAAATTCCACTCCAAGCGTTATCAATAGGGCGCTTTTATTATTCAGTTGATCTTTTTAAACCTCAATCACCGCCAGTATACTCAATTTTTATTCTGCTCTTTCTCACAGAATTTTATAGCAGTTTATTGAGAGATTGACAAATCATCTTTTTTTATAGGTACAAAATATTGTAACCAAAATAACATGGTATTTTAAGAAATTTTAAACGTATATTTATGTGAAAAAAATTCGTAATATATTGGTTATAAGTGTGATTTAAAGGGGTTTCCCCTATAAAAAGGAATGTTTGCTTTGACCTAACCACCGTATTCTTATTTGTTCTTTTCCGACCGTTATATTCAATTACTTTAAGAAGATCGTATTTTATCTAATCATCTGCATTAGCTGAAAAGTTTTCAGGCACTCGGGGGGGTAACATTTTTGCGAGAGCACATAAGAACCCACACAGAAGCCCTAAAACTATGTACAATTCTACATACAATACTACTAGAACGCTCTTTATATAGGAAACGTGGCGCCTTCTTTACCGACTACTGCCATTTTTCCAGTTTAAAATTTGAAAATCAAGAGGCGCATTTAACAAAAATATTTTCATCACCGAGGCAATTTTTCTAAAATGCACTTTTGAGTTCACTTTTACAGCCACAAATTCTCGATTTTGCTAAACTTGTAAATATTTTATCTCGAAATTATTCCATTCAATTCGACAACGCAGGAATTAAATTTGAAACTCGTTATCAGAGATTTGTCAGATTATGTGGTGTTCGGACGCTCTGAACGTGGGACGTTGTTATTTTTTTAAACGTCGGCCCTCCGATGCGGAAAGGAATTGAGGGATACAATCCCTTTTGAATAATTCAGACCACGTTGAGAAACGAAAAAGGAACCCAAAACGGAGGAAACTTGTCCGAAACAAATACCATGTGTTTTTTCTCTCCATTATTCTGTGTCTGAATGTGCTTTATCTTCCCTTAAGAAACTTCTCGTTCTCCGAAATTCTATGCAATGGATAAGTTAGCTTATCATAAATTCAAGCGGAATTTGAAATGCTGACTAAGTTTTTGAGGGATCTCCAGGAACTTCCTCAGTGTGTCCTCTCTGAAAGGTCGGTACGGAAGTAAGAATTTTTAATGGAAAATTTGGTAACTTTATAATCAACGGAACCTAAACGCCGTGGAGTTATGCAATTTGTATACTCGATTAATTTCATCACGTTGCGTTCCCGCTGAATCTTGGCTAAATTCTGCGCAATTTAGTTCTTTCCTCCAAAATTTTTACTTTTCACAAATCCGAATTTTTGTAACCTTTGCAATAATCTGTTCTTTCCGGGATTCAAAATGCGTGAGAAAAGAGGCAATAAAAAAGCAAGGATTTTGTGAAACCTCTGAAAAAAAGAATTTCTTAGGGCCGTCTCCGTTGTAGCGCATGGTCGTAATTAACTCACGAGCTCTCTCCGCAATGCTCTTCTGCCATGCCCATGGCTCGTGAGTGCTGCAATTAGTAGACACACATAAGTCCGTTTGGCAGAATGTAAAATCCCGCTTTTCCATTTCTCCAAAGGGAATCACACCCACTTTAAAATTGTTTCTTAAGCAGCTGTTTAGAGCACACCCCATCTTTCCCACTCGTTAAGTTCCGTTTGGCAGACATACGTCCAAACGTGTCCGCGCGTCTGATTTTGTCTTACTTTCAACCTTTTAAATGTGCTTCCTTGTCCTAACTTTTAACTTTGTACTACTTTTTGTGACCCCTACTTTTTACATTTTTAAATTATTTTGATCCCTCCTCTAAGGTGTTAATGGCTCAATTGTTAAAAGCACCAAATAAACGTTTCTACCAACCAACCATATTTTCCTTGTCCTATCTTTTAATTTTGTGTACTCCCCTTTTGTGACCCCTACTTTTTAAATTTTTCAAATTCTGTACTACACTATTTTGATTTCTCCCCTAAGGTGTTAATGACCCAGATGCCAAAAGCACTTTTAAATAAACGTATCACCAACCATATTTTGTTGCCGTCTCAGAAATTTGATATGGATGAATGTTTTTTTGTTGCAGGCACACGACTGCCGGCGAGATAGCGATGAACCGGTGCAAGTCACCGGTGACGATTCGACATGAGAGAGGCGGCTCCGCTGACACAAACCTCATTCGTATCGACAATTCCTCAAACCACGGCTCCAACGATGACCCCGTCTTCGAAGACGAGCATGTAAGTCTCATTTTCAGTCCATCTTCTATCGCACAACGAAATTCGGACCGTGTTTAGCAGAAGGGAACCAAGCCACAACAGCTAATGCCTTCAACTGGGCAATTTAATGTTTGTGTAAAAGAAATCAGTCGCCCCTCAAGTCAAGGCACATAAAAATAAGAGAGGAATCTCATTTATCCTTCAACGTGGCGGTTATGCAATCTTAGTTACTTCGGAGTTAAAATAGTTGTATCGCGTATTTCGGCCTGTAAGCTCCGTGATCCACACCACGTGTGTCTTGTGTAATTTTTGTGTATAAAAATCATTGCCGCCCAAGTCAAGGCATATAAAAATAAGAGAGGAATCTCATTTACCCTTCAATGTGGCGGTTATGCAATCTTAGCTACTTCGGAGTTAAAATAGTTGTATCACGTATTTCGGCCCGGAAGCTCCGTGATCCACACCACGTGTATCCTTATGGCGCAAGTTGGGTCTTTATCACCTTTGAGATGCCCAAAAGCCAGACCAATTATACGGAGCCATTACCGTGCATTTGAAGAAGCTTCACTCGAGACTGAAAACGCGGACCCGGTAATGATTATAAGAGCGAAGGGGTAAGTTTAAGTGCGGAGCCATTAATACGAATTACGCGGAAATCTTCACTTAAGGAGGGGGATTTTGGTGCGCAATCGTCGTGCCTTTTCGAGAACCGCCACTTGGCGGCTTTGGAGTAATTGAATTTCTGGAGTCTTGCAAGTGGGTATTTCCCTACTTGGCCCGCGAGTAGAAAATTCATTGTTTGAACGCGAGAAATGTACGCCAAACAACGCATTTATCTTGGCGCCCCTTTGAACTCGGGCAGTCCAGCCCCTCAGCGGTTATCACCGCAATAGATCTCGCTCCACTGACCCAGTTAACGACTTTTACCACTTAAATTTATCTTCGACCAGCATCTGTCGGCTTATTTCCACCGCGTTGATTTCCAGGGAGTGTGAAACCAAAAGCCAAACCGACCCGGATCGCCTCGATCTTGCTTCAATCTCGCGCCACTTCCATTGTGTGCGGGCGGATTTCTGGTTGAATCGTAACCGAGCAGTGGCGTGGCGTGCTTTGCGATGTATCGATCGATTCTTTTCCATAACTTCAACTAGGGAAATATCGATCGATCACTCACGCCCTGCCACTGTTACCAAGGTCAGTGCATTAAAAGGCACTCGGACTCCCATTTTTTTTAAAATGTCAACAAAGTTGTAAAATTGAACGGGCCGAGTTCACTTTGTTGCATCGTTTCCTTCCCCNGGGGGGGGGGGGGGGGGGGTAAAAAGTGTTGCAGATTGGCAAAATGAAATATTAAAATTTCTATGTCCTAACACGAAATTTTATATTTTATGTCCGTGTTCGGAAATTGTACAGTTTATTAAGATGATGAAAAAGAGCTTGCAAATCGCACAAAACATGAGTCCTCTGGGGTACAAAACTGCACTGAAAAGGGAACGAGCAAAAATGAAATGCGGCGTGAAATAAAAGTTTTTTTTTTCTTTTTAACTTATTTCGATTAGGAGTTATTACTTCTTCTTATTTATTCTGTCCTCACTGTTAAAACCTCTTTACGGACCCAAATACGCGATTCATTTTAGTTTTTCTGTCTAGGGCCCAAATCCAAAACAAGTAACTTCATTGGTAGTGTTAATGCCTTTATTGACATTATGTGTTACAATGCGTAGAGAAGAAGAGATAGTAAAGTATTAAGGTGCTGTAATACTGGAGTCCCACTAACCGAGTTGATAGTCTTTCTATTGTTCATTCGCAAATATCTTCTTAAAACGTTACACAAACATGAAGAATGATCTGATATATTTGGACTAATCTTATACGACAATTTTATCGCTGAAAACAATAGGTATTTAAGGTGACAGATGAGAAGTACCTGCATAATTATTTTGCCGCTGAAATAACTTAAGTTAATATCCCACAGTTCGAACTGCGAATCTCTTCATCCAGGAGCTTTCTGACTTGAAGACGCAAGCCTTGTAAGCTTTTCATAGTCTGTACCAAGTGGATTTTGGAAAACTTTCGTAAGCTAAATTCATGGATCTATCCATCGTGAAGTCATATGTATAATGNGAAGGTTTAAGGTGACAGATGAGAAGTACCTGCATAATTATTTTGCCGCTGAAATAACTTAAGTTAATATCCCACAGTTCGAACTGCGAATCTCTTCATCCAGGAGCTTTCTGACTTGAAGACGCAAGCCTTGTAAGCTTTTCATAGTCTGTACCAAGTGGATTTTGGAAAACTTTCGTAAGCTAAATTCATGGATCTATCCATCGTGAAGTCATATGTATAATGGTAGGAGATTCTTCGTGAAATGATATGTTTTGGAAATAAAATGTGAATATGTCTGGATTTTCCTCACATTTTTACTCGCTACAAAGGAGCGGGTGGGAAGATTTAGAGTTCAGAAGCTTATAAGCCCCCTAGACAATTTTTCGACCGAAAAGGAGGGTTGAGAATGAAAATACTCTCCACCAAAAATTCACAAATAACATTTGCTCGAGGTTTAAAAAATTAAAAAGTTCGAGGGCACCTCCTGGGAGTTTAAGTTGTTCCTTATGAAAGCGATTCACATGATTGTTAGAATCGCAAATTCTAATATTTGCCGATGAAGTGCGCATGCACAGTCGAGGTCAATCAGGACGTTTTGGCTGAAAGAGTTCAAGGCACGACAGCAAAATTTCATAACTTTTCCTCAACTTTTCTAGTTGAGGTAGAATCTCTTGAAGTTTCCATCTTTTTCAAGACCTCCCGACGTCTCGATAGCTTGTCAATCACCTTATATTCGGCACTGGAGAATTTACACACAAAATATTGTCGCATCATCCGGGAGTGCTTCATCAGTTGAGTTCACAGTATTTTTATAATGCTTTCTATAATGGGAAACAGTGTAAGAATAGATTTAAAAGTGAGGAAATGCACCGCCTTGTGACGTTATCTGGCGACATTTCCCATTTCGTCGCTTCTCTGACATAAGGGCGTATCTTGATTTCCACGTGAGCCTTGTTTCCTATAAGATGTTTTCCGGGGCTCATACGCGAATCGAGATACGCCCTTACGTCACAGGAGCGACGATTTGAAACTTTTCCCTTTGGGTGGAAAGACTCGGGGCATTCACCGGGATCGCTGCGGCGGAGAAACTCGAGCAGCGAAGTCCTCGCGCGAAAAAGGATGCAAAAGCAAGGAGACGGAGATGATGTCTCATGATGCACTTCAATTACGCGACAGGGACACGGGATACAGGGTGCAGGGATCCGCCGCCTCCACCTTAGACTTGGAATACGATCCCACTTCAAAGGGATCACACTCCGGAGTACATCCTCGCGGCCTTTCAATGACCCGCGCACGGGAGTCGGCACCACGCCAAAAGAGACTTATCAATATTCTTCCTTTTCGTTATTTTTTCATCTCCCAGAGTGAAACTCTAAGCCGTTATCACCAGAGTACCTATATAGGGAATATGTTGCCGCCTCAATACTGCCGAGTAGAATCAAATAAGTTTTGCTCTACCATGTCTCCCGACTTTTTAGCCCTTCAAAATGGAAAAATCTGACCTTTTTTTTTTTAAATTTGTTCAAAATTTTACGCTTAATCAGGTCCCAACATCGCTTTAGGCAGTTTTTGCCATTTAATATCAGAATTTTGGCCCTGAACAGCTGAAATGTCCTGTACCGTAGCCTGTCTGCGACTCAAGTTCGCAACTTTAACGCTTCATAACCATCATCTTGCATCTAAATACTTCCACTTTTGCTGTAAATTCACACTCAACTTGTACCTAACTTATTATTTTCAGTTATATTCATCCAAATAAGTGAAAATATTGACCTTCTTTGCGTCAAGCAACCTTGTCTGCGGAATTTGCGTCCTGTACCGTAGCCCCCTTTTTTCAGCATCATTTCGTCCGTTAGAGTGCAGCAATTATGAACTTTGTTTACTTTTTTTGCGTTATCGTGACTATCATACGCTGATGTCGAGCAGAGGAAAAAAAACCGCAATGAAACAGTGAATTTTGACCGTTTTTTATGAGTTTCTAGGTTTAACGACCATCTAGGATGTCCTTACCGTATACCTACCTTTTTAATGCATAAATAACTTCAAACTCTCGAATTTTGGTATTTTTTGATTCGCTCTGATATCTTAACCTCAAATCCAGAATTTCAACCACATGCGTGAATATGCCCGAGCACCGTTGCCAATAATCACACGATTTGTCCGCACCGTAGCCGTCCGTACCGTAGCCCGTAGCCGTCCGGTACCGTAGCCCGTAGCTGACGCGCGATGCGGCCGGGTCTACGGTAAGTACGGACAAAATGCGAAAGTCATCCAAAAATCGGTGCGCTGTTTGATAGATCATCCCACTTTACTTTATTTTATCTATCACCAAAATTTTGAATTAAAAAAAAGGGAGAGACTTTTTTTTTTTTTTAGTACGACGCGACTTAGAAGAAGGAGGCTTTTTTTTCGATGATTGCATAAGGATCGCCATCTTTTTATTTTTTTCATTTTTTCTTTTAGAACTTATTTGAGTCCTCTTTTTCGTCTGAAGTTCATAGCAATTTATTCGTTTAATATTTACTCGTTAATATCTAACATATTTTTTTCTTATCGTCCTTTAAATATTTATTTAAGGTGATTTATGACCACATTTTCGATAAAGTTACCTTTTTGTTTTCTTTCTTTTTTTGTAAAAGTGCACCCAAAACGTTCTAACGTTGTCAAGCTTGTTTTAAGAACTCAGCTTCTAAGATTTGTCCCTAATTATTTAATGTGTTTACTTTAAAATAAAAGAAGTTCATTATTTTTGAAGAACTGATTTACTTACTCTTTTTACCTTTATTGCCTGTAATAATTTATGAAAGTGGCACTTATAAGCTATGCTATAACTTAGCAGTTTACTCCCCAATGAATTTCAGTTCTTTATAATTCGGCCCTTGCATACAGTAATATTTACGAATGCCTCTTCGTCC